CAAATCCAGGGAGATTTAATTAGGGAGCCCTCGGCTCGAACCTGACACTGTGTTGAACTCTGCTGGAGACAGAGAAGAAGCTCCAGTCCTTGTGCTTGATGAGCCCACCCTTTAGCTTATGAGAGGAGGCAGGTAAAGCAAGTGACGAAGGAGGCTAAGGTTGTATACAACGAAGGACTGTATTCATATCCTCTGGCTTCTGTAACAAATTACTGCAAACTTAGTGGCTTAAAACAACACACTAACAAAACAAAACAAAACCAAAACCAAAAAACAAAAAAAAACCACAGGTTTTTTTTTTTCCTTACATGTCTGGAGCTCAGAAGTATAAAGTGGGTAGGCAGGTAGGGCTACCATTCCTTCTGGAAACTAGGGGAGGATCTGTTTCTTTGCCTTTCTAGCTTCTAGAGGTTGCCTGCTCATGGTGTCTTCTTCTGTCTTCAAAGCCGGCAATGTAGCGACTTCCAATCTCTCCCTCTTTCTTTTCTCTCTGACCATCACAGTCAGGTCACCTATCTCCTTCTCTGATTCTGACCTTCCTGCGTCTCTCTTATAAAGACCCTGTGGTTATATCAGGCCCACCCAGATAATCCAGAATAGCCTTCCCAACTCAAGAGCCTTAACGTACTCATGTCTGCAAAGTCTCTTTTGACACGTAAGGTAACATATTCACAGATTCCAAGGAGTAGGGCATGGACATCTTTGAGGGGAGGGTCATTATTCAGCCTACCGCAGAAACTAAATCAAAATGAATTAACAGCATGCAGGTTATTTATTTGGTAGGGTTAGCATAATAGCATGGTGTTAATCATGGGTCAGTGAGGAGAATTGCAGGGTGGCCCGAAAACATGGGCCCGTGTGGAATGGTGGGGAGAAGGCATTTTAGGAAACGTAACGAAGAGACAATATAGGCGTAGAGGGGTTGTGGGGAGGGGAGCCAGGGAGCCAATCAGCAATGGACCTGTCCGACCAAGGTGGAAACCGTGGGGTAGAACACGTTGGGAGAACTTAGCCACACTGGGTTCCCAGGTGAGGTGGGACCTGAGTGCCACATGCAGAAGAGTATAGGTTTGATCTGCGGTGATGCGGGCTACTGTAGCTAGCAGTGTAACACTATGAGTTCATACTTTATGAATATCAGTTGGTTCGTACTTTGTGCACAACTTGAACAGGAGTCATCGGAAAAAAAAACTAATGGACAGGAGGAAAGGAACCGGGTGGGGAAATCCTTGTAAAGAATACTTGAGGAATATAGGGGCGCCTGGGTGGCTTAGTCGGTTAAGCGTCCGACTTTCGCTTAGGTCATGATCTCGTGGTTCCTGGGTTCGAGCCCCGCGTCGGGCTCTGTGCTGACTGCCGGCTCAGAGCCTGGAGCCTGCTTCAGTCTGTGACTCCCTCTCTCTCTGGCCCTCCCCTGCTCACGCTGTCTCTCTCTCTCGGTCTCCTAGAAATAAATAAAACATTAAAAAAAAAAATTAAAAAAAAAAAGAATACTTGAGGAATATAGTAGAAAGTCTGAGAAAAATCACTGGGCTGCCTAAGAGACTGGAAACAGCCGACTTGGGGGATAGGCTCCTTCAGTGTCCCCAAATGAAATGTCCAAAGGCGAGGGACGTGAGGGAAGCTGACCTAGCCAGGGCTCTGTTGAGTCAGTCAGCGTGTGCTACCTCCTACACTGGAATTTCATCTTTGATAAGAGACCGTGACTTCCCTAGACACTGTTGTTAAGGCATCTGGGACCCATGAACCCAGGCTTGAACCCATTACACTTTTATCGTGGGCTGCGGAAACTTCGGTAAAGGTTAATCAGTGCTGTATTTATCCTTATGTGATACTTTTACATCTAAAGCTTTATCACCACCGATATTCGTTACTTATTGATCCTTTTTTATTTTTCTTATGCTATATGGCTGGCTCAGTTCCAAGAAAGGACAGATCTGCAGTGGGGATCAGACAACAGCCAGTTTTGCGGCAAAATCAGAGCAGGCCAAGGTAGTCCCTTTGCAATGGAAGAGGCATTTCCCTCTTAGATGCAAATGTAGGGTATTTTGGAAATGTTGGGATTAAAACCAAATCATATTTGAGGATCGTTTTTTTTTTTTTTTTTAAACTACTCCAGTCATGATAAAGGATGTTTTGAAACTGATGTCTCTCAGGCTTTTTGTGGAGGGAATACCAGGTACAAATACGTTTTCCTGGATTTTGTTGCTGAATCAGGCTGCTCACAACCCAGGAGGCAGTCATACTGCCAACTTTCGAGCTCATACGAGGTGCTTGTAACTGAAGGGAGCTGGTTGGGCCCGCCTTGGCCAGAACTGCAGCGTATTCTTTACCTTTCCCACCCTTCCCCGTGGTGTGTTTGGATTCCACCGGCTCGTGCCTGGCTTCCGTCAGAAGACTGAGCGTCTGATGAGAATCCCCAGATGTGGCCTCCTAGGCCAGACCGGACACAGAAGCGACTCCCCTCTCAGTTCTTGCTCTGCTTTTCCCCTTTCACTGACGATCCGGGCATCGTTCGGCATTGGAAACCAACTTCCGCCTGCTCCCTCCTCTTTTCTCTGTCTTCTTCTGTGCCTTTCCACTGATTTCTGTGCTCGCTTGCTTTAAGCAGAGGATCACTGTGGCTGCTATAACTTGGGATTTCTCTCTGTGCTATCATTTCAGGAGAAGGTTGTAGTTATTGCTTCTGAAAACAGCAGGGATAATGTGAACTAATACCCTAGGGGAAGGTCTAAATGATATATTGCACTGTTTGGGCTTTAAATTTGTATTTTCATTAAAAATAATACTAGGTACAAAATTTTAAAAGCCGACTAGTTCCATAAGGCCTATAATGAAAATATTCAGTAATCCTGACCCCCTCTCTGCCACCCTCAAGTCTTCTAGCTGTTTCTCCTGATACTTACCTCTGTTTTTATTATTTTTATGTATGTATGTATGTATGTATTTAAGTAAACTCTACCCCCAGTGTGGGGCTCAAACTCAAGACCTCAAGACCAGGTATCATGTGCTCTACCAACTGAGCCACACTCCATGGTTTTAAATAGTGGAGGGGCCCCTACCTCCATGTTTTTAAATAATATTCTTATATTGCTCTTGCAGGGATTTCGAGACTTCCCTTTATGTTGGAGGAGTATTTAACACCCTTAGGCAGCCCCTGTGCCCACTGCATTTTTCTTTTGGAAACATGATCTGGTCTGTCTTGTCTGTCAAGATCATCTCCAGTAAGCAGTAAGGCAGGTTTCCTGTTCTCAGATGGGTCATTTGACTTTTCTCAGTGGTTCATAGCAGAACATTTCTTGAAGACCAAACATGCCAATGACTGCACAAACTACATTAAAAGACTCTTCCTGGGCCAAAGAATCCAACACAGGAAGTAAGGGTGGATCGAACAACCACAATACACCTCTAAGAAGCCGGGGTTTTGGCGAGGGCGGGAGGAGGCAGTTATTGCCTTGCTCTTCCTACCATGGTTCACTGCAGGAAAAATTGAGGCTGTGGTGGATAGTGCAATCTTATCTGCCTTTTCCTAGAAAATACACAAGGGGATGGGTGTTAAAAAGCAGCTCAGCTTTGAGAACTAGAATCCAATGCCCTCTCTCACCTCACTCCAGTAATACTTAATCTAGCTATAATTAGTCAACCGGAGAAGATAGGAAAGAGATGTCAAGGTCAAGAGCACTTCAGAACTGAGCACTCCATCCAACAAGGGGAGTAATCAAGTTGTTTTCTCCATCCCTTTCCCTCGGTTACTCTTGGAGTGCACTTGGGACGCAGGGTTCAGATGGCTCCGAAAGTTCTGGGGCGCTGATAAGATCATATAAGTTCTGGGAAAATTTTTACCTCAGGAAATTCTAGTTGTCCAGGCTTCCTATAGAGCAATACATGGCATTTAACGTGGATGATGGGGGAAACTGAAAGAAAGGTTTTGTGAGAGGGAAACTTGAGCAGTTTCATTAGAACAGGTTAACTTGCCCAACTGTAGTCTGTGCTAACACCTTAAAAAAACAGTACGTGAAACAAAACCATGGGATTGTAGCAAACAACTGAGAAAACCGAGCGATGACGAACAAGAACGGGCTTTTCATAAAAATCACCTTTTGGAATGTCTATGAAGTAATCATAAAGATAAATCTGAGATTATTTGGCCTGGGTTCATTCATTCCTTCATTCTTGCATGCATTCATTCAGTGTATATCATGCGCCAGTTCCATATATGCAAGGGGCTGGGAATGCAGTGTAAGGAAAAACAGCACTGCCCTAGCTCTCAAGGCTGTAGAGTCTAACAGGCAGGATGGACTGGGGCCATGTGAAGGTGGAGCCGCCATTCAGCATGCTCTGGCTATAGTCTGGGTTGAGGGGCTGTGGTATGGGTGGTGGTTGGAGCCAGGGATGGATGCAGGAGGGCTGGAAGGGGGTAAATAGATAGGACTTGACAAATGGGGGGTGAGGCACGAGGAAGAGGGGGAGATCTAGTGTGGTGCTTAAGTTTATGGCACAGTGAATGTGCTAGAATGGATGATGTTACTTTTTTTTTTTTTTTAAGGAATCCAAAGGTTTTCTAGAAAAAAGTATTTTTGGTGTACCTCTCCACAAGGATGGACAGATCTGCTCATGGAGAATCTTTAGGGAATGAAATGGGCAGTGGGGGAGGGACGTGAGTGAGTTTACCCAGAAGTCCAGAACTTGAAGTGTGAACATTGCCTGGAACTGACGTCTTGAGTAATGACGGGTGGAAGCTTATAAAGAGGGTCCAGATAAATTTTGTACAAGTGATTTGAATGAAAGACAAGAACAGAGACGAAAAGGAAGCATACTGTGAGGAGTGTGTAAAGTATGGCCGTATTTGAATAAGAAAATTGGAGGGAATGATCGGGTTTTGTTGTTTAGGGAACATCCTTACCCAACCAATGATCATTACTTTAAAAGTAAAGCTTGGAATTTGGGAAATTACATTTGTATAAGATGTATACAAAACCAGACTTGTTTTGTCTTCGAAGGTGATTGATATGCCCGAACACAACCCTGGCAATTTGGGAGGAACAATGAGACTGGGAATCAGAAGGACTGTTTTCAAAACTGAAAATTCAATATTAAGTAAGTTTCTCCGATCGTTTGTTCTGTCAGAGGTCGGGGGTGGGTCGCATGGGTCTGCGCAGGCGCAGCAGCAGTCAGAATCCTCTGGAGCCCACTGCGCCCCTTCCACCTCTCCAGCTTCCTTCCAGTAGCTGCAGGCTCTGTGACTCTTCATCCCACCTATGCCCTTTGCCTATACTGCTCCTCCTGCTCCCCCCCACCCCCCTCTCCCCGGAAAGGTCGGTAGAATGCATGTGAACGCCCTTTCTCATATGACCTCCGTGACACCGGGCCCAGAGGTCTGCTTTGTGATTTACAGATGCTCCTGGGGATGACCTTGCACAGGGAGAGCCCTGATTCACTCACTTCTTTCCAAGCCACAGTTCCCTCCACTGCATTGAAACCAGCTCCCTGTTTAATTCTTTCATGTCTGACTGGTGTTAGCCACGAATTTACCAACCTCTTTTTTTTTTTAATTTTTTTTAATGTTTTTATTTATTTCTAGGAGAGAGAGAGAGACAGAGAGACAGCGTGAGCAGGGGAGGGTCAGAGAGAGAGGGAGTCACAGACTCTGAAACAGGCTCCAGGCTCTGAGCTGGCAGTCAGCACAGAGCCCGACGCGGGGCTCGAACCCACGAACCGCGAGATCATGACCCAAGCGAAAGTCGGACGCTTAACCGACTAAGCCACCCAGGTGCCCCCGAATTTACCAACTTCTTAAGTAGAGCAGTTAAGTCTGAGAGATATATTTTTCTGTTCCCCCAGCGGCTTTCGCATGGGGAGAGGAAAATATGATGTGGCTTGCCATCTGCTATTTGCTCATCTTCTACTCCCGATAAGGCTATTCTAATTTCTGTGGAACTTACTTTCATCGATAAACACATTATAGGAGACTAACGTAAAGCAAGAAAAACCCCAGAGCCATGAATTTAGTTTAACAAACATATCTTGAGCGCCTACTCTGTGCTATATGTACCATGCTAGATTCTGCAGATACAGTAGTGCCCAGGACAGAAGTCAGCCCTTTCCTCCCCGGGGCCTCAAAACAAGTGGAAAGAGGGTGATGAAAGGGAACCTGTCTGTCAGGTGCTGAAAGGACCGGAAGTAGAGGAAGGGAACCCACCCAGGTATCTTGAGTGCCCAACATCATTCCCATGAAGTTATAAGCGTAGCTTCGAAAAACGACTTCTTAAATACCAGAAATATGAATTTCTCCTTTACAGATAATAAAGAGCTTCTTTTTATTTTTTTAAAGTTTTATTTATTTGTTTTGGGAGGGGAGGGGCAGAGAGGGAGGGAGAGAGAGTCCTAATCTGCACCGTCGCAGGACTTGATCCCATGAACCTGTGAGATCATGACCTGAGCCTAAATTAAGAGTCCTGCGCTTAACCGACTGAGTCACCCAGGTGTCCCAGTGATAAATAACTTCTAAGGAATACAAAGCTTCCCAGTAAGAATGAAATTTAAAAAGGAAAAGTTTCGGGGCGCCTGGGTGGCTTAGTCGGTTAAGCGTCCGACTTTCGCTTAGGTCACGATCTCGCGGTTCGTGGGTTCGAGCCCCGCGTCGGGCTCTGTGCTGACTGCCAGCTCAGAGCCTGGAGCCTGTTTCAGCCTGTGACTCCCTCTCTCTCTGACCCTCCCCTGCTCACGCTGTCTTTCTCTCTCTCTCCTAGAAATAAATAAAACATTAAAAAAAAAATTAAAAAGGAAAAGTTTCAAGGCACATTTCTTTACTCTCTCTGGATAAGAAGCCATTGTTCTCTAAGTGACTTTTTTCTTTAAGAATAAAACAGTTTTTTCTCTTCGGGGATATTAGTAGTGATTCTGCAGCTTTCAAAGGTTTTCAAATACTTTGAAACTTTGTTCAAATAATTGCCTAAGAGACAGAAAATGGTTAGTGAGAAAGTTAACGTTTGAAAATTGTATCTGCTTTATATGAAAGATTCGGTGCTAATCGTAGCAAGCTTCTAAAAAAGAACATTGTCTTCAAAATATTTAAAATTTTGATCTGTCTTGATAGAAATAAGACTGATTTAGGATTTGTTTTTCTTGACAGTTGACATGAAAGTAATGTCGATGATTTTATGAATCTTAAACACAACACCAAAGCTTGCTTAATTAATGTCTTTTGCCTGCTTTGAAAGGAAAATTTGTAACAGCTTTATTGAGATATAATTTACACACCATATAATTCATCTGTTAAAAGTATATAGTTCACTGTTTTTTATTCTGTATTCATAGTTATGCAACTACCATCACAGTCAATTTTTGAACATTTTCATCACTTCAAGAAGAATTCCTGTTTCCTTTAGCTATGACTGGCCCCCCTCATTCCTGAGCAACCATTAATTGGCTGTCTCTACAGATTTGCCTGTTATGAATACTTCATATAAATGGAACCATATGATATTTTGTTTTTGGCTTCTTTCATTTAGCATAGAATTTTAAGGTACATGTACATTGTAACACGTATCAGCACTTTGCTCTTTTTTTTTTTTAATGTTTTATTTATTTTTAGGAGAGAGAGAGTGACAGCGTGAGCAGGGGAGGGTCAGAGAGAGAGGGAGTCACAGGCTGAAACAGGCTCCAGGCTCTGAGCTGGCAGTCAGCACAGAGCCCGACGCGGGGCTCGAACCCACGAGCCGCGAGATCGTGACCTAAGCGAAAGTCGGACGCTTAACCGACTAAGCCACCCAGGCGCCCCAGCACTTTGCTCCTTTTTACGGCTATATACTATTTCATTGTATAGTTAGACTACATTTTGTTGATATGTTCATTAGTTGATGGACATTTGGGTTGTTTCTAGGCATGCCTTAATTTTCTTTTAAAGTTTATTTTATTTATTTTGAGAGAAAGAGAGAGCGCACAAGAACAGGGGAGGGGCAGAGAGAAAGGGAGAGAGAATCCCAAGCAGGCTTCTCACTGTCAGCCCAGAGCTGAATGCCGGGCTCAAACTCATGGGCCCTGAGATCATGACCTGAGCTGAAATCAAGAGTCTGACGCTTAACGGACTGAGCCCCCCAAGCCTGCCTTCTATTTAAACTGTGCTTCATAATTTGCAAAAGTCGTATGAGTATGTGAACCTGTGAGCCTCGGGACGCATAAGGTTTTGCCCTTGCACTTGTGCCAGATCTCCCGCAGTTCTCCAAGAAGGCCATATTCGAGATAAGAGATAAGAACACGACCACTGGCCATGGCTGTATTGAGTGTTGTAAAAGTATAAAAACAAATAGCCCCATAGTATCTTGTGGGTTTCTTCCCCCAGTCGGCATATTTCTTTTGCAGGATTTTTTCCTCTAGGCAGCCCATTGCTTTTGTAAGGCTTTTTCCCCCTAGTCAGCATATTTCTGCAAGATGGTAGAAACAAAATACACTTGCTTACATTGCTTCTGACAATAATTTATAGTTTTGACGGAAAGCATGTGATGATATTCATTCATTATTTAAATTTGATTTATGGGACTGTGATTGCAGTGCCCTGGGCTGAATTGAAAAACAGAAAAGTTTTGTTGTTGTTGTTGTTGTTGTTGTTCTTTTTTTAGCGAAAGATAATACTTTGAAATAGGACCAAACAGAGCAAAGGCTTCTGCTTATTAAAGGACTAATGACAGTGTGTGGGGGCGTTGGCAAAGCTGGTTCAAAGATCTTCACAAAACATTTTTCTAAACTGCATTCCTCTAATACTTCACCCAAGTATCAATTACATATTCTTGATCTCTTCTTTTCTTTAAATGTTTCTTTATTTTGAGAGAGAGAGACAGAGAGAGAGTGAGCGAGCGAGAGAGAGAATCCTAAGCAGGCTCCATGCTGTCAGCACTGAGCCCAATGTGGAGATCGAACCCACAAACTGTGAGATGATGATCTGAGCTGAAATCAAGAGTTAGACGCTTAACTGACTAAGCCACCCAGGCGCCCCTACGGATTCATTTCTTATTGCTAAACATTTCAAGTTGTTTCCAGCGTTTTGTTAGAAAATGGTGACGTGAACATCTTGACATCTTGTTTATATTCTTTTGATTGCTTCCTTCGAATAGATTTCCAGGAGTCGGACTATTAGGTCAAAGGGTGTGAACACATTTATGACCGATAATTCTACCAGATTGCTGGATGGAAGAGGTGAACCAGTTCATAATGGTGTTAACTATACTGCACTGTTCTTGCTTTTTCTAGTCGTTTTGCTAGTATTTTTATTATTTGTCTTTTCGCTTTATTAGTGGAACAAAAAGGGCCCTTTATTATTGTACTTCATTTTGCATTTCTTTTCATTACTAAAAAGCGGAAAGTCCCTCCCCTCCCAATGCTGGTTTATTTGTGTATATGCTGCCTGTGTCTGTATATTTCATTGCATATAAATGACACACCCTCGATTTTTGAAAAACCACATTTTATCTGGATACATAGATGGCAGGACTTGTCTCACAGTGACACTCTTACTTGGTTGCTGAACTCATGAGATGACATCTGAAAAGCAGGGAGAAATGGTGGAGAGCGGGTAAGTATTAAGTGGAGTGCTTTGAAGAGTGAGAAATCTAAAATGAGGCATGGCTGGAGATGGAGTGGCTCAGGCTCAGGTGAGAGAGGATCCAGGGGAAGAAGCACCGGGGAACTTCGTTATGAGAGGGTTTTAAGATTCCAAAAATAAACTGTATTGTTTTGCTTGTGGCTCTCAATTGAGTGTGAGAGATGGGAACATAGTAAAATACAAAGCAATTCCGACAAGGTTCAGAGCTCCTTAAGGGGATGGCTGACAACTTGTTTGATGGTTATAGTTTCCAAAATATTACCGTCCCCAGGCTTAATTTTTTTGGTCCGGTCCTGGATGTGTTGCCGAGATGTTCAGAAAAGGAAGCATAGCTTTGTGCTAAGCGTGGTTTTCAAACCAAACTGCCACCTACCAGAAAGAATATGCTTTTTGGACGCTCCAGGTAGCATGTTTTAATACTGCACAATCTGGGGGCGCCTGGGTGCCTCAGTCAGTTGAGTATCCAACTCTTGGTTTCAGCTTAGGTCAGGATCTCACA